GTTCTAAATAAACGAAATCGAATGACGGATGAAGGTGAATCAAATAATAATCATGGGAGTGTTAATGGCGTTACAAATAATGATCAGGATAAATTAGATGAATCAAATGTACTTACGCCAATCGAACGTGATTTTGTAAGTATAACTTGTTTTTATTAATTTATTAAGATAACTAATTAAAACTATTTATTATTAGGCACGATCGTGCCGTGATTTATATTTTGTTGATAGTGTTCTGAGCGCATACATGAAATTGGAGGATCTCCAAACCCAACAGCAACAACACCCTTCTCCTGCTGAGTCAAGCCTATAAATATTTTAAAGTGTTAATACGTATACTCCTCTTCAAAGAGTATTCGTTCTTGTCGCGTTTTATTCTAAATTGTACATAGTAAATTCGATTAATTTTTTTAAATAAATAGTTGCAACCAGATTTGTTTGCATTATGCAAATATGAAGGAATTATTAATTACCGGAAGGGGTGCGTCCCACATTAGGAAACGGTTAGAAATGGTTACAGCTGTTTTATACGGTTTATAACGATAATACTTTTTTTTAAAGGCTTGTGTAGTACATCTTTGATATGAAACATTTGCAGGGAAGGCATTGTCGGCTACACGAAATGTTTCATGTTTTTCGATCAATAGAAAATGATAACTGAAACTTGAATTTAAATTTTAAGGTTCAAAACAAAAAAATGTCTTAAATTCTATTGTGGGATAGGTGAGCATGTTTTACTTGGTTTATTTTTCGCTAATTATTAAACAAAAACTTAATACAGTCAAATTTCTTTATAAATGTACATCATTATAAGTGCGTATTCTAGCTCGGTTTCAAATCTGGAATTTAATGTGCCTTCTATTTTGCATATGCTATAGCACTACGCTACTTAGAATCATTTTATGCTATATAATAAATTAAACTTTTTGAGAGTATAGTCAAGAGTGTGTTCTATAGCTATATAGAGTAAAGTATATAAATTACTGTATTTGGTCATGTTTAAAAAAGCATATTTTACTTTAATCTATATATTAATTTGAATTGTTTAAAATACAGTATCTAAGCTATTTAGGTGGTTTAGATTATTATTGTATTGTATTACAATTATAAATTTTTATTATAAAAAAATAATTTTAATAATATAATAATAATAATTTTTAATTAGCTTGAGTTAGGCTAATTTTTTAAAACTGGTGTATAGTATTATAATTTAGTAAAATTGAAAAAAAAAGTTTATTAAATTTAATTAAATAATTTTAAAAAATTATACTACATATAGATAAAATTATTTATATTATAGTTAGATTTTGTTATATTTACTTTTAATATATTATAATTTTTATTATACTATTTTTTTTTTTTTTTTTTTTTTTTTTTTTTAGGTGGCCTCTTGGCCGGCTCCTTTTTTTTTGTTTTATTTTACTTTTTTTATTTTTTTATTTTAGCGATTCTTTTTTTATTTTTTATTATACAAACTAATTAGC